AGGAATGTGGGAATATCTGATGCCTATATTCAAAAAGAAATCAAATTTCTAACAGCTCCAGCAGTCTGAATTCTTGAATCTAAAACAGAATGACAAGCCTAGAAATAGGTGGTAACAAAGAGATAGAGTGGTTGGCTTGACTTTGAACAGATAGTGTAACTAAGAAAGATACATAACACATGACTTCCTGAGGCTACCCATATTGCCCAGGGAAGCATCTCAACAAAGATAGAAAAAAACAACAATCATCTCTGTCAAGTGAGGGTACTCTAGACCAATAGTACATAGGAACCAGGTGAGTTGATAACTAATACCTAAAAATTGGATCTCTATTAAAACAACAGTTGTACTTCAAATCTGTTGATTCCCCCCACAAAAGACAAAAATATTCGTGTACTCTTTTTAATTCAGATTGTTTACCTTGTATTAATTCTAGTATCATCTACATATACATAAAATTCATTCATAACACAGTATTTCATCCATTGACAAGGCTCTGTGTACACAGGGATTTTTTGGGGTCTTTCTGCTACCCAGGGGCTCACGGTTCATTTTAGAAATTAATAAATTATATTATCTTGCAGGAGACTTCAGTCTCTAAAATGTTAAGAATCTATGCTCATAACAATAATTTTTAAAGCACAAATTGCATTTACCAGAGAAGTATTCAGTGTATCTTTGAAAGGTCTCTGTTAACATTAGTTAGAATAAAGTTTTGGTATAAAAGTCAGGCTGACTGCTTCTGTGGATCACTTCTCTCCTTGACAGTGAACCTGACATTGAACCAAGGAAGCAGTTGATCCATTATCTTAAACCTTCCTTTATCCATGAACCCTATTATTGCTCATATTAGAGGGGAAAAAAAGTAGTTCTATTTCATTTTCTCCAAGGAGTTCCAAAAAGCCTGGAACCTCCTCCTGAATCTTATCTCAATCACTAAAAATCAAAGTCGAAGTCAAAGTTAGTCAAAGGAATTGAGGAAAAAAATCTGAATTCCAGGCTTTCAAGAAAATACTCTAAAGAACAGAATCCAGTGCCAGACATCATATTTTCCCCTAAAAAGGCATCAAAAAAAAGGTGTCTCATTAGAGAAGCTGGTAGACTAACAAGAAATCATAAGGTTATATGAGGTCTAAGAAGCTGGCTGGCCCTGAGTAGTCTGGCCAAGATTATCACCAGATTATAAGACCCCCTGTTCTTACCACACCACACTGTTCAACTGCTGTAGTAAGGTTGTTTCTAGCTGCTTTTTAAAATATTTCAATTGAACTTATTTAATACTTACTTTTGGGTCACTTAAATTTATAAATGACAATGTCCAAAAGTACAGTGTCCTAATGATGTGTGTGAGCATACCTACATATACACCTACAGCTGTGATACTGAAATTTCTTTAGGAGATTTTTTAACTTGTAAGTGACATTGAATCTGTACTATACACAATACTAAGTTTTAGTTGCAGTGGTTCAAGAGCAAAACATACACCATTTTGCTCCTCTGGGCAATTTTTAGTATGATTTTTAATATAATGAATCCACCCTGAAATATGCTGCCCCTCCACCCACACTTGTAAAAGTCACAAGTACAGAATAAATTGAGGACCTCAATTCTGCTGAATGTGCCAATTTCTGATCTATTTAGACATTTTTTAAAGAGTACTTGATGCCGCAGCATTTGGAGGTACTTTGGGGGTGACTCCATTCTGAAGGGAGTGTTACCTGCTGGCTCTTCACTGGAGTCAACAGGCAAGAGCTTTCAAGAACATCTGGCTATGGTCACTCCAGGGCAGCTATACAAGCCTGACGAGCTTCTCAGAAGTCTGTTTTGACTGCTCTTCCCTCCTGACTCCTAAGAACGTTGATTTATTTATTTATTTATTTAGCCTCAATGTCCATATCTCTCATGTGTCACCACTCTGTTATTTCTTTTAAATGCAGAGATGGGACAACCATTGAAACTCAGCTGCTAGCTACCTCATTCATTCCACAACTGTGTGGCCTGTTTCCTTACAGACACTGCCCGTGCTATTTATGATCCCCTATGCTGCTTTAGAAATTACCAAACAAATTACCCCAGTATAAAAGGTGACACCCAAATTAGCTTTGAGGCCACCAGACAACAGACTTGTCTTCACCCCAAAGTGGCACCGTTGGCAGGTCACCTGTCAGCTGTTTCAGTCTCCTCCCTATCGGAAGACAAGCCTGAAATGTCTGCAGCCCTCACTTGTTTTTGTAGAAGGGAGGCATTTGCCCAGCATGACTGTCCTTTAACGTAGATTTGATGTTCAGCCTGACTCTAAACCCCTGGCCCTGTCTGCAAATACATCAGAAGATTGGTACCAGGCCTTGTGCTTGGTTGTCCCCACAGCTTGATTCCTAGAGTTATTACAGAACTTGGTGGCAACTGTAGAAATCAAAGGGTTCTCTCTCTGATATAGAGGATGTGTGGGGTCTTTAGTAGAAAGCCATTGATTAAACAAGGCCCTAGTATCTCAAGTACAATTGCTTTTTTTAGTTAGAGGCAGAGACCAGGTTCATGCCCTATCCCCTGTGACTTTAGTTAAGCACAGGGAAATGCGGGAGGGGAAAAAAAAAACTGTATAGGTCTCTATGTGCAAATCTCTATAAGCTCATTAAGTTAGGTAAACATAGCTCCAATCTCAGTAGCCAGTGGATTGGAGTGGATACTGGGAGCTTCCCTAAGGATGCCCAGAGGGTGGAGAGCAGCATTGATTTTAAGAAAATTTTAGGTAAAAAGGAGAAAGTTGGCTCCATTCAATAATGGAATTCAACTACTGCATATGTATTTTTCTCAGCATCCAAAGAAAGATAAGGACCATCCTGGTAGTTATCAATTAGTTATTGATGCAGTTATGTTCTCTCATAAGCCTAGGTGCAGAGCGGTTTCCGCCAGTTCTGAAATGTGGTGCCTCCTTGGCATGGCCTGTTGTCACCCTAATCCCAGCTAGGCTGAAAGACCCCCACAATTCCACTTGGGGATACACCTGGCTGGCACCATTCAAGGCCCCCACCTGCAGAGGTACCAGAAAGCAAAAAATTATCTAAGCTGGAGTGTCCGGCACTCAGGGCAGCCCCAAACAAGTCTGCCCTATTTTATAGAAATACTTAGACAGGCATGAAATGGATTTTCCGGATGTCCAGCTTTCCTTCCTATTGGCTTCTCTCTTCATTTTTTGCTGCTGCTTCCTTTTAATTTTTTTCCCTTTCTCCGCTTTTTTTATTTTTCGGCTTTTTTCCCCCCCATTCTTTGTTTTTCTTTTGCTAATTCTGCTCCAACCAGGTAGCAATGCATGTTTCCAGGAAGCCTTTTTAATTAGTTGTTCTCCAGTCTAGTAAAAATGAAAGCTGTTAGTGTCATTAAAAAAAATAATAACCCCATTGCATATTTTAAGGGAGATGATAATTCCTTGCCTTTGATAGAATCTACTCAAATTAGAAATTTTGGGGGTTACAAATATAAGTTCCACAGCTTCCTTTTTTTTTGGTAAATAAAAGCATTTCTAGCTCTTTTGGTTATCACCCTTCACACACAACCTTCTGGCCACAGAAGGCCAGATGGAAACATTGACTACCGGGGTATGAGCTCTGTTGCTCTCCAAGCTGGCCAACCATTAGCAGCCCCTCATACCACTGCTTCTCCAGATGCCCAGCCTTTTGACTCTGGTCTTTATCTCTTAAGTGGGAGCACAGTAATCTGCTGCTCAGGTCTCTACATGGGTACTGCCCCACGAGAAACGCAGCTCAACAACGAGCAAGCCCTCTCTCTCCACTGGGATGTCTGGTCTACCTGCTAGAAAACACAGAAGGTTAATGCCAGCAAAGAAGTACCAGTCTGAACTTGGGAGAGCAAAAGCCTCACTGGAGGGGATGGAGCCTGAGACAGAATTTAATGGCTTCCCTGAAAAATGTTTAAAAATGCATGTGGCTCAATTCCATGTTAGTACAGCAGCAGTCAAAATAAACTGGACCTGTCTCGGGCACTGGTGCTGAGAGAATGTTATGAATAGACTTATTTTGTAAAGTTGTCACTTTACACACCCAGAAAAACCAACCAAGGGTAACATCGGCTCCCTCGGCATTGATGTTGGTTAAATCCCTCCTTTGAATGCCTTCAACTTAATTTGGCTAGTTATGTGAGTTTTGTTGCTTTTTCCTAGTTTTCTGGAAAAGAAATAAAAAATGGGAGCTATGCAGATGGTGCCACTATGCAGGAGGACTGAACAGGCTGGTGAAACCTATTCCCAGCTCACAGAGAGCTCCCTACTGGCTTTTGAATGAAAGCCTTGTTACCTGAGTGTGTTTACAGTATAAAGTTTGGCATGAACTGGCAAAGACATGGTCAAGAATCAGCCCTTTCACCCATAGCTGCTGGTGTCCCATATCCTGAGGTCTAGGTGGTGCTGGGCCCTCCCCAAACCAGCACCGCCCTTTAGAGGTAGTAGTTACCTAAATCCCAGTTGGATGAACTAGTTCACCTTCTTCTAGTTCCAACCTTCAAAGATCCCCAAATGGTGACCAGCCTACCCACCTTCAAGAAGTCCTCCCTCACAACATGGGTAACGTCAGATTTTTGTACTTACCAAAAAAAAAAAAAAATTGCCCAGCACATTTTAGCTTCATTTTGGGCAGATGGCCACTTTGCCAGGCTGTCATTCTTGCCTGGTGTGAGCCCACTGCTCCAAATCCTGATTTGTAGAGTTAGAACTAAAACTAAATCCAGACCCACAAAGGCTAAGGCCATGTGTGTGGGCACCATAGGTTTAGCCTCCTCAGAGCAACCCAGTCCACCAAGCAATCCCCATAGCATCCTTGTTAAACACCCGGAGAGAAGGACCCTCCAGGCCTGCATTCAACCTGCGGCGCCCATGGGTGGATTGTCAGACAGCAGTATCTCTCAGGGTGCAAAGGTATTGTGGGTTCTTCTGCATCCCAGGCTAAAGGGGGGGGAATAACCTATTTCATTTTATTTTTTTTTTCCAGTTCTCTCAGGCCAGGCACACCACAGCCCTTTGAAACGATCTGTGTCCCTTACCCCACCCATGAATGTGCCAAACCAGCCTCTAGGACATGGATGGATGTCTCATGAGGACTTACGAGCTAGAGGACCCCAGTGCCTCCCATCCGATCATGCCCCCCTGTCTCCACAAAGCAGTGTAGCCTCTTCAGGAAGTGGTGGGAGTGAACACTTAGAAGATCAGACCACTGCTCGTAACACATTCCAGGAAGAAGGTAGTGGTATGAAAGGTGAGTGACCACATGAGGAACCACTGAGTCCCTCCCTTTATTTGGAGTCCCAAGGGTAAAGAGCTAGTCAGCAAGAGAGCAAGAGCCCAGTGCCTCTCCGAGGCTTATACCCGGAAGCCTCCCCTTCCAGAACTCCAGGGCTTGCCTTGGTGGAAAGGGCTCCCCCTTCCAGGGCTTCCTGCCCAAGCCCAAGGACCAGAGTAAGTGAGGTCAATACCTTCCTTTTTGTTTTCCATGCATTGACCCTCAGGCAACTGAATGGTCCCCTGCTAGCACTAGCAGGGGACAGGGTCATCTGTTTGTAAAGCCTCCAAAGCTGCTCCAGCCCTCTGCCTTGTTGCTGTGGCCAGGGACCTGTCGCTAATTCAGAAAAAAAAAACAACCACTGATCTTTTATCTATTTTCTTCTCTAAATCTCTCTTAATGCAGAATTGCAGTTATACTTTCCTTTCTCTCTCCCTTTTTCTTTGATATCCAAAGAAACCTTTAAACCCTTTTCCCTGCATTGGTTTAAGGGACAGGAAAACACCTCTGAGAATCTCTGGTAGTGTTTTAAGCCTGATAATAGATTTGCAAGATAGGTGATAAAGGCCTTTTGTGCAGCCTAATAAATATTCCTACAATGCCTGGAGAATCTATCCTCTTCTCAAGATCTTCATTAGGAGATACAAATTTCTCAATTACCCATGATCCGTTCAAAGAGGACGTGTGCGTGCATTTATTCTTAGACTCCAATTGTTCAAGGGTTAGAAGTCCTTAGGGAAAGACGCTCATCAGAGACCTACTGATAACTGTTAGATGGGGAAACAATCACCAGGACACCTTTGGGACTAAAATACAGCCCTCTGTGCCAGCACGAATATATAGCCGCAAGGGATGCTGTTTCTGACTTCCCCTTCTGTGATCACTGTTGACATAGGGTGCTCTGGACCCAGTCCTCTCCCCCTCATGGGAGCCTGGCACAGAAAGCCTGCCCACCCCTGCCCAGGTGCTAACTGTAAGAGGACACCAGGCTGAAAAGCAGAGCCCATGGACTTGGGGAATGAGATCAGCCTTCAGTCTTCCACTCACCTGCTTAGGCCTGTGCCCTCCCCATCACACCCCTATCCCATAACAGTTCCTGTGCTGAGTGACCCTAGGAAGTAGGATGTGTCTTGAAGTTTGCTTCTGGTGATACATACAGGTCTTTAAAGGTACTTGACAGGCAGCAAAAACAATGAGTCTTTCTGGCATGGAAGAATTGTACATCCTCTTCTCTTTCATGTTTTTTGGGAGACTGGATCATAATTTTGGAGAACTAGCAAAACCCATTGTGGAGTTTACACATGGTCCTGATGTTCATGCAGCTGAGTCCCAGATGACAGATAGCAGGTGAGGCTCAGCTATGCTCTGGGTAAGCCTGACTTGGCACCTATCACTGAGCATTAAAATACCGAGGGACCACTTTAGGCTAGCTTCTGAGCAGGTAGATTTCAGCATCTGGATGGTCTATTTCCAGGACAGTGTATTTGATGTTCTAATCAGTAACTCTGTGGGAGGAGGCATTGGTGTGTGTATTGAGTGGCAAGAGGACACTGTGGCAAGGCCATTCACGGAGGTACTTGTCCCTCCCAGGGGAGAATACTGATCCCACTGTAGGGATTTTTGCACATTTGTTTTCTTTCTTCCTTTTACTTTATTTTCTTTCTTTTTCTTTTTTTTTTAAGGACTTAATGCACATACTACACATCCCCCAAAAAAGTAGGTAAAGCCATGCTCATTGTGTGTTGGCATTTTGGGGTAAGAAATGAATAAAGAGTTTTTTGAGGAGTCATGAGTGAGAGAAAAACTGAATGAATGTCCTATTTCTGTTTTAGGATAAAAGCCAAAATCTTCCAAAGTTCAAGGACTATCTCCCATATGTATAAGCTTATTTGATTCCTTTCTGAAGAATTGGTGAGAATTGTCTCCTCGGAGCTTATGTAATCAGAAAATGACTCAGACAAGATCTCACACTGAAGATTTTCTTTATAGGCCTATGCATATTGATCAGAAAACAGGCTTTTTGATGGTTGGAGGAAACAAAGCATCCTTTTCCATGTATTTACACCTTCTCAACCTATTTAACTTTCCTTCTCCCAGAGAATTGGATTGAGATTCAGGGTATAAAGTCACTAGCATATTAAATGGCAAAAAAGAAAAAAAATTAAAGAAAGGAACATCATAGACGAGAAAGGGTTCTGTTTGTAGGGAAAGTATATTTGCAGTTCGGCTGACAAATCAGAGAGCAGAAAAGTCCATACCTGAAAATTCTAGCATTCCAAAGTGTCACAGGACCAATATTTAACACAAATGTCCTTATCCAGCCCTGCTGTGAGATGGCCACCACTAAGAACTCATCCACATCAAAGATCATTCAAATCAGCTCCTAGGAGCGTGTCCAAGAAGCTCCCTGTAACATACCTGTCCCAAGGGCTTGTCATTTATTTCTTCATGTCTAAAGCAGATGCCAGTTGAAATTTCCAAATTACTTTGTGCTTTTTGGAGAAATGAATTATGAAATCAAGTGAAGTATTTCTAAAAAGATTTAGTGCTTCCTCCTAGACCTCCACGTGCTTATTTTCTTGTGACCCAGGCCCTTTCACAAGAACATGTTCTGCCTCAGGATGCCATCACCAAATTCTTGTTTTTCTAATTTTTCAGTACCCAACTTATATGAACAAAGTACCTGTAGGAGAATTTGGAAGATTTCCCAAATCTTCAGGGAATGCACATTATCCTCAGCTCACACCTTGGGAAAAGAATAAAACGCTACCACAATTGAACTTGATTTAGTGCAAATTCATCTTTCTGACCAGCAGGTGTGCATACTTTGCTGAAATACTATATTCACCCTTTCCTTCCTTTTCCTCTAGACTAGCCAGGTTTGGCTGCAGTCATGCCTTAGGAATGTTCCTCTTGGCAAGAAACCTCTCTCGCCCTTTTTATTTTTCACATGCATTGATCTAGCCTTATTTCTGTTTTGTTATCAGCACACTCTGCCACTATGTTCTCTCCCAGGTAGACCAAGTCCTGCTCTCAGAGGAGTGACATCATCTGCCTGTTCCACTTTGTTTTTCCTTTCACCGTAAATACCTATCCTGATGGTTTAAGCTGGCTCCAAGTACAGGCAAATGTCCCTTAGGGCTGGGGGCTCAGGCTATAATTTGAGGCTCAAGAAAGAATGGGACTGACGACTCAACTTGAAATCAACTCAGGAGAGGTACAATACTGAGCTCAAATATGAAATTTTCCAGCTTTACCATTCCCCGGGGAGGCTCCTGGTTATACACGTTTGGAGTAAACATGCTAGCTGTGGTCTCAAATTCATTTGTCCTTGTTTCCCCAAAATTTCACTCTGACTTATCCCAAGGAAAGGATTCTTGATTCTGTGAGAGTTGGTACTTGGTTATAATCTCTTTCATTCTCTGAGCAACACAGGATCCAAATGTGCTCCCTTGGCTCTTCTCTCATACAAAGGCTTCAGGGAAGAGAGGGAGAGAGGGAGAAGAAAAGATAAGAAGGAGTAGGAGGCGGGGGAGGAGGAGAGAAAGGAAGAGGGAGGAGAAAGAACAGAGAGAAAAGACATTCCCATAGTTTTCTAGATAGACAAGCAGTCAATTGGTGGAAGCAGCATATTTGCCCCTCCTATTAGCATCACATCCTCAAATGCGATATATGAATCCAACACCTAAAAACTTCTCCTAATGCCAGAACTGTTGATGAGTGGTGTGGCTGTGATAGATGATATCAAAGAGAAGGGATATTTACAGGTTCACTTTTGTCTTCATTCAAGTCAGTGGACTCTTCTGAGCACCTGCTGGAAGAGACTTTGGACTGATTAGCTCTGGGAACACTGAAGCAAGATAGTCAGTCCCACTTTGGGGGACTCACTCTCAAAGGAGCAGAAAACATCTCATGGTTTTTTTCTACTGTGAAAATATGTTGTCTTAGAGACTTGCCCTGGGTTGGGGTAGGCACCAGGAAAGGCTCTAGTTCAAAGAGAAAGGAAGTCAAGGAAAGTTCCCAGAAGAGAAGAGGCCTGGAGAGGGGCCTCAGATTGTGATTACAGGTCAGTCAGTATAGAGAAGGAAAGGCATTCTGTGCAGAGGGAATAGCATCACAAAAGCACAGAGAGGAGAGGCGCTTAACCAAGGAGATCCTGTGACAAGAGAGTGAAGGGCACACGGGAGATGGGGTCTGGAGAGGGGAAAGCCAGACCCTAAGCCTTTTGAAGGATTTTCTCTTTTAACCTGAAAGCTGTTAAAGGAATTTCTGCAACAGAATGACCTGCCTAGGCTTACATATTAGAAGCAGGACCCTCTCAGCAGTGTAGCAAGGTATATCAAACTGAGGAGGGGATGGGGATTCTGGATTTGGAGGCCAGTGGAGAGGAGGAGGATTTTTCAGAAATAAAGGAAAATGAAGTTGGCCCAAGGCAAGCAGCAGTGAAACTGGAAAGAAAGGAGTATGGTCATGGGATCTCCATGAGATAGAGTTGAGAGGGCTTAGTAACTAACTAACTGAATGTGGGCAGTGATGGAGCAGGAGGCATTTAGGACAATGCCCAGGTTTCTAACTGGGACACTGGGATAGCTCTTGGTGCCATCTATAGCAAAGTGCTCATGGGAGGAAAAATAGAAGGGAGAAACAGCATGGGGCATGGTGAATGTGGGAACTTGTAGAACATTCCAGTGGGGTGTGCAAACCTCTCAGAGGTCCCCTGCTCTACAGGGTACCATGCTCCTCTGTGGCCCAGCCTGATTCTTCTCTGTCTGCCACTCTTTATTTGCAATTTCAGCATGTTGTAAATCTGTAAGGAAGTTCCTTTGAGGGACTTTATTCCAAACATCTGGATAGAAACCCAAAGATTTGGATTCTTTGCAGGTGAGTAGTTGCCTGTGTGAGTGGGTAGAGATTGGCAGTATGTTTTCAATATGAGCCTCAGCATCACCTTTGCAAATTAACAACTGCATGTATCT